GGGGGGGGTGATGGGATTAGGCTTAGCAGTTATTCAGACAAATGCACATAAGAAGGGGCTTCAGTCCTTGATATTGCTAGTTTCTTTAACTATCTTCTCTTGGGGTTTTGCGGCTTCTGGATTGCACTCGAAATAGTTGTCGCGTGCATAGAGAATATTCCAGTAAAGTTTCAGCTTTCAACCGTGCATGGTTCGCGAAGTCGTTTCTCGCCAACATATTTTTTTAGGGGGCCCGTGCGCGGAGTCTAGGCTCGTGTGAGGAAAGATCTTAAAACAAGCTCGTCGAATATAAAACATATATTTCAAACTTCTGCAAGATACTTCACGAACGATCGCCGCTAAATCGCCTGTACCCAATAGTACCCGGTAATCACTCCAAAACAGCCAGAAATAGTTTCCCAAGGCAGCCGCTCTAGACAAAACCCTTTCTTCAGAACTGACCCAAACCAGAGATCAACGAACCCTTGAACTGGCCTTAAGTACAGTCCCGCCTGTAACTCATTGGGCGGCAAATACAATGCAGTAATCGGTTTATCACTATTGTTCCATCGCATTCGTGACATGGATTACGATTGGATTATATTGATAATGGATTTTGAAAAAATTCAAAAATTTATGTTAAGGATTAAATTTTTGACGATTTTTGGACAAAAATTTTTTTAGCGGAATTTGCAAGTTTGGGAATGACTGTTCAAAGTGATGATATGTTTGGTGCACGAACAAAGAAAGGAATGTTCCGTACGGTAGGCCAAACCTACAAAGAACAGCTGGCACGCTTAATGAAGACCCTACAGAATACCACGCCGCATTTTGTTCGTTGTATTATTCCGAATCATGAAAAAAAGGTAAATTTTTAGGATGATTTGAACCAAAATTCAGTTATTTTTCTTTTTCAGGGATATTCTAACGATAATTTTTCTCTCAAATTCTACTCCTCTCATTTTTTTTTTTTTTTTTTTTAAGTCTCATGACATCGAAATAATGATTCTGTTGACTGGTACTGACTTGATTTTGTTAATTTTTACTGAATTTGAGGCTGTGTTTTTTGAGTGAGTCATAGTAAATTAGCATTGTCGCATGTATTTAAAGGTAAGGTAGAAAGTGAGGAGAAAGGAAAAAAAGAGATGGACGAAGTAAAAAAAGGGGGAGGGAATTTTCCCATCCATTAAGTCGTATACATTTCTTACCGTTACCACAATTGAACCTCGTCAGTACGACGATTGTGCCAAGGAGTCAGATCGTCTTCAGATTGCTTTTTAAATCATTATCAGAAAGAAGGAATCATTGAGAACGTAATACTAATGAATGGTTGCAGTTTGGCAAACTTTTGTTATGTAGATATTTCGGTGTGCTTCATTCGCTGGTAGAG